ACCGATTCGGACCTTTCATCCTACATGATTGAGCGACCAAAGGAACATAAATGCATGCGACTCACCCGATAGATGCGAAGAACGTTATCATCGATGCTGCACTGGAGCAGGGAAAGTTAGCGTGAAGATCCTCATCAAGTAGACACCACTGAGAATCACATGGTGAAAGTGAACGCCGTTTTATTTCTTAAAAAAACATGAAACATTTTATTTCTAAAGACACAACGTTATTTGCGAAAATTTAAATTTTAATAATGATAAAAATTGGGACTAATAACTTGAACTATTTTTATTTTATAGTTATAATTTTACATTCGACTTTAATAGAAAAAGAATTATAGAGAATAGAATTAATTCAAATACAATATGTTAAAGTACTTACATTCTTAGCTTTTGAAGCATCATAAGATTTTTGGAAAATTAGGGGAAGATTAGAGACTGTAGAAGATCTATAACAAAACATTAAACATTAGAATTTGTATTTGAAAGCAAAGCAAAATCTAAAGTTCTTAAGATAATGAAAGATTTCTTACATTCTTGACTTTAGAGCCACCGTTGGATTTTCCCCAAGTTAATGCTGATGTGAAGCATCATCAACTAATGTGATCTGTAACAAAACATCAAACATTATATTATAATGTTAAATTTGAAAAATTAAATAAATTGAGATACAATATATAAAATTACTTACAATCTTGATCTCCTGGAGAGGCCTTATCCTCTTGAGCACTGATTCTAGCACTGAACATATCGGAAATGTTGAATAAGAAAAAAATATAAAAAAAAGAAAAATAAAAGACACGTGCACCAAAAATAAATAACGAATTCAATAAAAGAGGGAAAAACATTAAACCACAGGTTTCATGAACTTGTTGTAAAGGGGAAACTCTAATTCATAATCATGATAATATGCAAAAACATTGATTGATTTAGTCAATGTTACAAGGTCACAACATTTCTTCTGGTTAGGATTGAAACTATATTTTGATATAAAATCATAAATAACTTTTAGCATAGTATGTTCTGTTTAAATGTTTGTATGCTATTATTTTTTAAATTGTTGAAAATTACATGTAATTTAATAAATTGTTTAATTTAATAAATTGTTTATAAAAATTATACACTTCAGTAATCTAGCAGATCTCGGTGAAATGAAATTAAAAATGCAAGTTTTAATTTAAAAATACACAACACAAACACAAATCTAACAACTATTGATTTAAATTTCTTGCTTGAAAACTTCTGGATGATTTTTCTAAATAATTTTCTTCTTTAGTGATGTGATGTGCTTTTTTCCTGCCATACTTGCCGGTTAGAAATCGATTATGAGAAGTATCGATTATGTTCGAGAATCATAGAAAGTATATAACATATTTCACCGTGTAGTGGCGCTGTTATCGTTAAGTAACCTAAACCCAATACGCGCGCATTACGGAGAAAACTAACTCAGAATAAAAAGTAATATTTATAGAAATATTTATTTGATACGTCCAATCCATTATATAAAATAAAATAAAAATATATTTTAATCAATTCTTTCTATTTTTAAACAGATGTAAATAATATATAATAAACTTTTCATCCCAATTACTATCAATCCCTGTTCCGAATCGTTAAATTTTTTTAATATTCTTATTTTATATTTCATGTTCTTATTATATTTATATTCTTTTACTGATAAAGCATCACTGTATTCAATCCAATAAATTATACATATATTTATGCCTATATTATCTAACTTTTCTCGTAATAGTTCTATCTTAATGTTAAAACAAATAGGGAAGAGATCAGAACCTCGAGTCTCATCATATACGACAGTATCAATTTTGTCACAAATATTCAAAATAGAAAATAAGAGATCAATATTGTATTTAAACTTTTGGTGCACGTTAATATATGTATAAGAGTTGTCATTGTAAAATTGCTATCTGTATATTTGCAATTTCAATTAGAATGATAAGCATTAAAGTCACCTGCTAGAATGCAGTTGCATTTAGTGTCAATATTTTAAACAATTAAATGTTTAAATTAATCTTATGTGGGAGTGAAGCCTGGAGCTCTATAGCAGCTTATAGTTCAATATAGTTCAGATAACGCTCAACATAGTTCAATTAAGATGTCAGGAGATTTGATGTTACTAATTTCCCTGAAAACCACGTTTTTACAGATAAGAATTAGAATTTCACCACCTTTTAAATGAGTTTAAACATCCTTTCTGACCTCTATGAATCGTAAGAAGCTAAAGTTGTCCTTATGAACCAGCCACGTTTGAACAAAGATGAAGATGTCATAATTGACTGAATTTCCAAGCGCTTAGAGTGAAGACTTCTTGAGTTCCAAAAGAAAACTCGTAACAATGTGATAATTGTAACTATGAATAACTTTAATCTAGAGTCTTCTTTTAGAAGAAAGAAATCTTCACTCACAATATCTGTTGGATAGGAGCTGCTGAGGCATTTGGCAATTCTTTTGATGAAGATTTTTATCTTAAATTCTGTAAAGAAGAGGAAAGCATCTTTATTAGAGCTGGTATGTCCCTTGTGTAGTTTAATGCTATTTCCAGGATTTTGGGATTGTCATACATGTCTAATAGGAACAATAACAGCTTTGAAAATTCAGAGAGTGATTGTAAATAGAATCCAAGATGTAATCCTTGACAAGCAGTAGCAAGACAATTTCTTCTAAGGAAGTCTCTGCTCTATTAGCTATTTAGCGTTTCTTTATTTCTTTGGTAGAAACAACTGCTTTGTCTACTATGTGTCATCTTTGACAGCATTCAAATCATTAAATGAGTTGTTAAAAGAGCTGAAATCAGTAAGCTGTCTTTTGATACATCTTGATGGCGACAAAAGGACGATTTGTAATGTTTTTAGCTTGCAGTTTATACATCTGAGGTAATGATGTAGCAGAAATCATAAAAGTAATGGAAAAGATTTTGACTGTTCAGCTTGGACGACTGGATCATTAACTATTTCATAGTGACATAAGCTAGAATTATGTAAAAAACAGTGGCCAAGGGTCAAAGTTTTTGCAGAATTCGGCCACATGACCTTTTTTCCTGCATAAGAAGCAGACTACTTTTTCTACTGATGAATCTATCCATGAATCTATAATGAATATATCCATTAGCTTTCGTCTAGCTTTTGAAGAATGACGGAGTGCAGAAAAAGACAAATGTTGGAGAATATTATGGAGAATATTTGGATTAAGAAATGATTGGTTAAATTTCCAGGGAATGAGATTTAATAACGATTTCCATATAATTGTCAGCCTTGTGCCTTGCTATCCTGGTATAAACAAATTCGGCCTTGAAAAATTCTGGATATAAATCAGAATATAAATATTTAATAGGCCGATAAGTTGTCAATTTCATTTGAATTCTTAAATCGAAATATCTTCGATCGAGTCTAATAATATGACTGCTTGTTCTCGTGTATGGAATTGTGATTGTTGAGCAGCTTCAGCGTAAGAAATTTTGACGTTCTAAATGTGGAAATCCATGATTTAAGGTTAGGTACCATGAAGTTTAGTGCCCCTGAAACCAAAAACATTTAAAGAATAATAGTAGATTAACTAAGAACAGATTTTGTGTCCAGCAAAAGAGATACAAAGAAAGAATAAGAAAGAATAAAATAGACACAAACACAGAATATTCTTGTAAGTGGTCGCTAGCACTTTTCGCCTGGGCTATCCTGCAATTTAGCAATGACGAATTCTGAAAATCTTTATTAATAGGGATACCTACTACAGTCAAACGAACACAATAATCTGGTATTTATCGTGCGAGAATTAATATAAAATAAATATAAAACAGATTTGCAGAATAATTTTGTATGATAAATTATATGATTGACGTATATTTGAAGGAGTTGCGGTTCGTCCAAATCGTTCAAGAGCTTGCATTTGAATTGCCCTTTCAATCTCTTCTACAGATCATCGTTTTTTCTTCGACATATGTACATGCATTTGGTAGAAAAGTAAAACTCTGTGAATTCCTTGTGATTATTTCGCTTGAAAGTTGTTAAAGTTGATTGACTGAATTTTGAATGATGCGCGTAAAATATTTTAATTTTGCGCGCCGCTATAAGCTAGAGAGTTAAATACCTGCCCTCTACTGACGCATACGTCAGCCAATAGGAAAGCGGCTAGAGAACTGGGTGGGACGCCATCATTCTGGAAATCGTAGCGTCAAGATTCTTTTGACACGTGTGAATTTCGATACTGCGTAGCATTTATTGTCATTCTACTACCTTCTACACACTATCAGGTTCGTATAACTAATATATTATTATTTAATACATTTTTAAGTAGTATCATAATGATATTAAATTACTTTACGAACTTTGTTTGTTCAGCTCTTTATATAGGTTAAGTACGTAGTTGTTAGATTTATCAGTATCATGTCAAGAGATTTAAGACAAAATCTGAGTGCAAATCACTTTGAAAGAAAGAATCATTGTGAATTTGATATGTTAGTAACGTTTGATTTATTATTTCATTCGCATTATTTATTAGTATCAGATGTAAAGAGTTTTTGAGGCAGAATTTGAGATTATTTGATGTATTACTTCGATATTATTGATTCTAATCTAAAGTTTTTGGTTTTCATACGTACAGATTGCTGATTGGATGCTGAAATCAATTTAAAAGAACATCGATGGTTGTTGTGTAAATTTGGTACGTTAACGTTTGATTTATTATTCCTTTCACATTATTATCTTATATTATTTCATTGATATTATTATTTATATTTGATCACTGACTTTACTTGACGGTTGACATCGAGGAACAACAAGGGATGTCAAAGGACATGGATGGACATCGAGGGATATCAAGTGACTTCAAATGCACTGTATAATTATTTCATTCGCAACTGTATGTACATGTATGTACATAGAGACCATTATTGTGTAACACTTGCCTAACCTGGACGAATATTTCCCAACTATGCCTAAATACGTGATAAAGTATGTTCGCGCGTTTTATTCACCATCACTCTTCAATAACACGATGTAGTAGCGTGTTCTTGCAACAATTT